TGTGATAAAATCATTCGTCATGGATTTGTTTAACGATTAAAAATTTATTGCATAATAATATTGCAATAGTCCATGAAAATAAAAATAACGCATAATAAAAATATTGCATATATTTCATGAAAAATTGCGCGTTGATTTGTAATAATACAAAAGTTTTCCAAAGAAACATAAATTTTCTCGTACTTTGAGTTAGTCCAAACTTGCTCATTTGAGAAAGTTCTTACGTTCTTTCTATAAAAATCTTATTGTTCTCGTTTCTTCGCGTTGTTGTTTATGTTGTTAACTTTGACTACGTCCATCCCCTTGTCATCGACGTTGCCTTATGGATTTGTGAGATGTACAATTCTTTAAATGAGACTGTATTTTAAATTTCGACGTACATACATATATAAATACGACGAATATTTTCAAAGATTCTTTCTCTCTCTCTCTCTCTCTCTCTCTCTTTCTCTCTCTTTCTTACTTTAGCTAATTCTCTTCTTTCCTTTTATTTTATTTTTCTGATACACGAGATATCAGAGGAACTTTTCAACGTAGAGCTAACGTTGTCCCTTTCTCAGAATTAAACTTGCTAACAAAGATGCCTAATATAAGGTTTATAAAAAAGAAAGACAAACAAAAAAAAGAAAAAGAACAACTTAATGCAACAACATTCTTTCACTCTTATTTTTTCTTATGTATTTACTTTTTTCTACTTATCTCTTGGAAATTCATGCGTCTTCTATATTCATTCGGTTAGGAATTGTTATCGAGAATTTTTCTTTAATTTTTTTTTTTTTTTAGAGTTACTTAGAGATCAATTATTAAAGAAAAGAAAAAAGGAGGTTCCTTCCTTTCTTCGATAAATTTTTAATATTTAAATGACGTGAAAATTTGTTAATATTCTCTAAGGTATAGATAAAAATAACATAGATAATTAATATCTAAAAAGATTAAATTATAAAAATTTCTTTGCAACTAGCTTATATATATATATTTAAATACGATTGAATTATTATAATAATTATTACTTGGATATGTAATTTATTGTATTATATTACAATACGTTACGTATTACAATTAAATTGTTGAAATTTGTTACGCCGATAAAAGTGTATATATGTAGGTATAATTTGTTATCTTAAACATGATCGTTTTTATAATTATCGTAGCTCTGCATTCTAGAACACATAGTGATACATTAAAGTAACGAGAGATCACGAATAAATCTAGCATCGTTATCATTTACCTATGTACGTATGTATCTATATATGTATATATATATATATATATTTTTTTTTTTCTCTCTCTCTATTACTCTACCTTCTATATCTATATAATCGCTCTTTGCATAGCAATATTGTTGTCCTATGCAAACGATTTATGCTTCGTACCACTATTACGCTTTCAACGACCTATTCCTTGTCCATTTAATTTACATATGCTCTCTCACACAATCAAAAGGATCTATCCGTTTTGAGAAATTCTATTTGTAGTAGTACACATATTTTTTTTTTATATATATACTATAATATATATAATATATATATATTTTCTTTTTGAATAAACTACATATCTAATAAATATATTAGAAAATTATTATTATTATTATTGTATTATTATATATATAATATATATATAACATTATATAATAATAATAATAATAATAATAATAATAATAATAATAATAATAAATAATAATAATAAATAATAATAATAATAATAATAATAATAATAATAATAATAATAATAATAATAAATAATAATAATAATAATAATAATAATAATAATAATAAATAATAATAATAATAATAATAATAATAATAATAATAATAATAACCTTTTTTATTTTTTAAATAAAAAGCTACATTTTTTACAATGGCACCATATTATACGTTCAATTTACCAAAATAAAAATTTGTAAATCAAAATGAAAATGAAAATAAATTAATGATTAAATAAAATAAAAATTATGAATAGCGAAACATGTATTTTCGATTTTTGTGTAGTTGTTAAATTTTCATGACTCGGAAGGTAAAAGCAATGACGTTGTCGAAAGTAATGAATTGCTTGCACTTCTACGTAGGTGTGAATGATTGAAATGAGAATGGTCTTGATGGAGACAAAATGCTTTACGTCGAGATAAACGATCGAATCTAGAACGTTCTACGATTTTCTCGTGAGAACAATTTTAGCGAATCCGATAAATTCTACCTATTTCCCAAGTGAATTCACCATTGGTCCCTTTAAATTGAAACTTCTAATAATATTCGAAAGGGAAAGTCAATCGTCTTGTCATTATAATAATAATTAATGATTTTCGATAAACATCGATTTTATATTATAACGGATTATGATCGATATTTTTTTTTTTTAATTCGATATTAAAATAGAACGATTTATCTTTTTTTTTCTTTTTTCGAACAATTTTACGATATATATACGTTACGTATATAATCATTGTATTGTAAAACAAATAATGTTGAAAATTTTAATATTATATATATATATATACATGTAA